AGCCGTATAATACCAGAAGAATATTCATATGAAAAAGATGGCCCTTTGTTTCAGGGAGAGCATTGAAAAATGCTTTTTTTTTTTTTAAACTGCAACTTTATTTATTTTTGCTTAGGCAATGGGGTTAAGTGACTTGCCCAGGGTCACACAGCTAGTAAGTGTTATGTGTCTGAGGCCGGATTTGAACTCAGGTCCTCCTGAATTCAGGCCCAGTACTCTGTCCACTGCCATTGAAAAATGTTTTAAAATTTCTCTCTTTTCCTCCTATTCAGTTCTGGACCCAAACTTATTGTCCATTGTGGAGGATATTTCATATAATGTTAAAAAAGAAGTGTGCTACAAGATAGAATGTTGAAGTGGCAGTTAGGTAGTACAGTAGATAGAGTTCTGAGCCTGGAGTCCAGAAGACCTGAGTTCAAATCCATCTTCAGACACTTACTAACTCTATGACCCTGGGCAAGTCACTTACACACTGTCTGCCTCAGCTTCTTCAGCTGTACAATGGGTATTATCATAGCACTTTCTCACAGGATTTTTGTGCAGATCAAATGAGATAATGTATGTAAAACACTTAGTACTGCACGGTAGCAATGCTCTCCCTCTTCCCTCTTTCCCCACAAGCAAAGTGTTCTAAGGATATTTTAGAAGGGAGAGATAATTTTGAGCTTGGAAAAGGGCCAGAGCGCAAGGACAAATTCACGGAGAGCAGGTACCTGAGCTGGACCTTGAAAAAAGAGTAAGGTTTCAGAGGTAGAAACATGAAGAACCTCTGTGAGTGCAAGCAGATTGTAAGAGACAACGAGAGGAGTTAAGTGAACAGCTAATCATGTAGTACAGCTGGACTATAGAATGTACAGTGGAAAGGGAAAGTGGAGCTAGATCAGGGAGGGCTTTTAATGTTAGGAATTTCTTCTTTATCGTATCATAACAATTTCAAAGCATAAACAGCCAGTTTCACTGAGGTAGTATTCTAGCCTTTTTGGTTAGAATTCCTTAAGTTGCTCTCTGCTTTTTTGTTAAAGAGGAAGATAAGTAATACTTAGGTAGATTCTATCAGGAAGACTACCTAGACTAGCTAGATCCGACACTTAACCACTGCTGCCTTCAGTTTCCCTGCCTATAAAATGGGAATAATAATAGCACCTACCTTCTATGATTCTTGTGAGCATCAAATGGGATAGCTTATGTAAAGTGCTTTGTAAACCTTGAAGTGCTATATAGATGCTAGCTGTTATTGTTAGAGAAAATGCAAACCCCTGCCTTTCATATTTCTTTACAAGGTTGATTCCGACTGGTACTCACATCTCATTGGTACCTTCTCTCTGCCCCTCTGATGGCACCCTCTGACTGGAGAGAAAGGCCATGGGCTCTAGGGACTCTATTTAAGAAAAAGGCTCAGCATGGTCCTCTCCCCATGTCCCCCCAGCTATACTGCTTTTGGACTTCTTTCTTTGGATTTCTCCATTGTGTCTCTGTCTAGCACCTCCCCCCACCCCACTCCCATCCCCGCCCATTTTCACCCTATCTTCCTAGCTCTGTCCTTACTTCTTAGCTTCTATTTTCCCTATTAGATTGTAAGCTCCTTGAAGGCAAGGGATGCCTTTATTTTTATTTGTATCTGTATTCCCCAGAGCTTAGCAAAGTACCTGGCACCTGGTAGATGCTTAATAAATGTTTATTGACTGACTTGATCACCAGGCAATTAAACTGACAACCTAAATAGGTTCCAGTTTGATTCTCCACCTCTGTCCCCAACCCCCCTCTCCAAGTAATACTGTTTAGTTCCAGGAAAATTAGTGAAGCTTTGCCAACCTTCCCACTGAATGAAAGGTAAGACAAATTTCTTTCCAGTGCCAGCAGGGGTCAGCTGGAGTACTAATATCAGGCCCTTGTTTGCAATACTTATAACTTTTTCTGGTTCCTGCCTGAAAAGGCAAGCAGCTCTGACCTTAACCCAAGTAACCCATTATTCCCTCTCTGGTCACCCAGGCAGGCCTTGCTGTAGCCTAGCCTTTGGAAGTCTGCCTATCCCGTTTGGTGGATTTCACTGCCTGGCATCTACTTCCTTATTATTCCTTAGCATCTTCCTGATGCAGTCCTGTTTTCTCATTAGTTCAATGAAATATTTTGGGGCTTGAAAACCTTTAAATGACCTCAAATCATTTCTCACAGGTTCCTGACTACTAGAACTAGTCCTAAGGTTTAAGGATTTTCTTTTGGGGGGGGATGGGCAATCATCACTGGGTGGAAGTTAGCTAAGAGATATTCTAATCAATAATCAATAAACAAGCATTTTTAAGTGCCTACTATTTGCCAGGCTCTGTGTAAGGTGCTAGGGATATAAAAATGTAACAAGGGCCATGCCATGAAGAATGCTCAAGATGTCCTTTCTGGTTCTCATTGACCACATGGAAAATATGGGGCCTGCTTCTAAGTATGTGGTATCCTAGTACTGAACAGACTTGGTGTTTTGTTATGGTGTGGAAAACCCTATATAGTGTCTTGGTCTTTCTCCAGCCCGTGATAGTGGCAAGGGAGTGGGGTATTATGTCAGTAAAAGAAGAGTCAGTTTCCAGCTTGGTTTCTCTTTCTTTGACTTTTCTGGTGGCATCATGTAACTCCAAAACTTTCAATGAGGTGTAGGAAAGGCAGGTGATGGCTATAAACAAATGGAATCTAAAATGTTTATCTTGCCTAAGCAAGTCTGAGGCTAGGTTTGGACCATTTCTTTTGTATTTATTCTTTCCTGATCTTAGATAAAATCTAAGATCTAAGATGAAATGTCCATTTATTCCTAGATAGGCATGTTCAGGCTGAGAGGTGACTTTGGGTTCAAGAGGTCAGGAAAAGGCTCTCTCCAAAATTATGAGTAATCTCTTAAATGCCAAATCCAATGGTATTTTCTATCCTCATCCTTCTTGACCTCCTTGTAGCTTTTGACACTATTGATCACTCTCTCCTCCTTGATACTCTCTTCTCTTATTTTTCATGACTCTGCTTTCTCTTGGTTCTCCTCCTACCTGTCTATCTACTCTCAGTCTCCTTTGTTGGATCATCATCCAGATCCTTCCCATTACCTGTGGATGTACCTCAAGGTACATCCTGGGTCGACTCCCAGATAGAGATAGACAGACAGATATAGATAGATATGGGAACACAGAGACAAAATGACAGTATTCCCTGCCTTCAAGGAGTTTACATTCTAATGAAGAAAAATGCACATGTATGTGTATATATACATGTGTATATGTGCATGTGTATATTAAATCTATAGATAGAGATATAACTATCTCTATGTATATACGTATGTATGTATGTAATATAGATCTAGCCATCTATCTATCTATCTTTATCTGAGAGTAGGCATAAGACAGAACCTTGAGGTATACCCACAGTTTGTGTGTGTGTGTGTGTGTGTATGTAAGTATGTGTCTGTAGTTCTATCTACCCATCTCTATTTCTCTACATGGCTATATCTGCATAGACATATTTATCTATATCTATCTCCAGTCCTAGTCTTTCTCCTTAGTTCTAGCCCTGTAGTATCACCTGCTGCCTCAGCCAGGTGAAAGAATCATGGCCATTCTTCCCTCTACCTCAGATGGAAAGAAAGGAGAGAAAAATTGCCAAGAGTGGATTGTTCTTTTTCTATGCATACTTAGCTCTGGTTCAACAACTCCTGAGTTATTGGGCCTTCTGGCTCCTAAGCTAACCAGAAGACTTTTTGTCGCTACAGAATACCAGCTGATGAAAGTAAGCTCATCACACCTGTACACATGGTCAGATTTGAAGCAGGCAGAGGTATCTCTGCAGTGCAAAGGGTGCTGGGTTTGGAGTCAGATGACCTGAGTTCAGATTCCGTGAAACCAATTAACATCTGTGTGACCTTAGGAAGGTCACTCTCTGGGTCTCAGTTTCCTCATCTGTCAGAGGTTCTTAACCTAGAGTCTGTGAACTTGGCTTTTTAAAATATATTTTGATAATTGTGTTTCAACAACGACAATAAAAAAAAGAATGTAAACTCCTTGAAGGCAGGGAATATCGTAATTTTGTATCTGTGTTTCCATGCTTGTTATGGTGTCTGTCACATAGGAGGCATTTAATAAATATTTATTGATTCATTGTATAGCCAGGAAGGTCTTTACAGATTGGACATATGAGAGAAAAAAGCACCTAAGAAAAGTATTTGATGTGAACTTTCAAGATGGAATGTGGGGGCTGAAGAGGAAGAGAAATTTTAGGCCTGAGGAATGTTATAAACAAGAGCATGTGAGAAAGTAAAGCAAATGAATTAGCAGTGGTAAGTAAGTGGATTTGGCTGTAGCACAGAGTACGAGGAGCAGAAGGGAGTAAGTAGTATGACATAGGGTTAGGAAGGTAGGGTGGGGTCAGATTGTGGAAGGCCTTGAATGCTTGCCTAAGGATTTTATTCAGTAATCATTGTAAATAATGATTATTTTAAGTATTTAAGCCTCTGAAAAACTAAATAATAGGAATACTTTTTAAAAACTCAAATGTATGCTTGATGGTTTGTAGACACAGCATCTCATGTTACATGCTTTGTCCCCTCCTTAGCCTGCTCCCGATCAACTTTAGGAAAAGTGCTTTTGAAATTTAGTGCTTAAAAGCAGAAATCTAATACTTTAAATTGTTCCATATTATAGAGGTGTGAGTATAGTGGAGGACTGGCCAATGAGCCCAGTCCTTGTGCAGACATTTTGTAACTGGTTGCAGTTTGTTAATCATGTGGTTAAGTGAGGCCTTTTGGATTGGCTTAGATTCAGAGCTAGGCTGCATTCAAAAGGCATTAGCCAGCAAGGGCAAATCTCTTGGCTCTGTCTCTTTCTAGCCCAGCTGACATGAAAGAAGAGCAAACTGCTGTGGTGTTCCAAGCGGGGGATAGGCCTTGGGCCCTCTCTCTCAGAGCCCTGATGAAACTGAGAGTTCATGGCTCTGCTGTTGCTTTTGTCTTTGTTACGTTTATTCTTTCCTACTTTTAGGTGAAGGAGATTGGAGATGCTATGACCTCGTGAGCTTTTTAAGGTCAGAATGACAAGTCATCAGAAGTCTATGAGCTGGAGCAGATGATGGGAATTTCCAGGAGCCATATGGGAATTTCAAGCCATTGGAGAAACAAACCTGGTCCACCAGTGACAGAGATGTAGATTCTCCCATCCATTGGTCATGCCACAATTGACAGTGACCCTGGTCCGGTGAAAAATAATTCTTGGATGTTAAGTCTGAGTCCATTCTTCCCAGGGACTGAGGTTCTATGGAGGAGAATGTACCCTCAGATGTTGTGGGAAACAATTTACACTTCTGTTCTTTGCTGTATCTTCCTAGTGAATATCCCTTCAAAAAAGCTAATTGCTGTTGATCAGTTAAATGAAACTGAATGCTTATCACTGGTAGCTAACGTAGGCAAACATTCTAGAATGAAGGTTTTATACAATAACACAGAAGAAAGACAATCATAGTCCCTTAGGTGTACTCTAGAACCCTGAGGACAAGGTGTGCCTGTCCTTGATCTGGGAGAGTGAGTCTAGCTAGGGCAGGAGTGGGGAACCTGTACGGGCCTCTCGAGGGCCTTCTAGGTCCTTGGGTGTGGCTTTTTGACTGAGTCCAAGTTTTACAGAACAAATCCTTCTCTTAAGGGGATTTGTTCTGTGAAGTTTGGATTCAGTCAAAGGATCGCACTTGAGGACCTAGAGGGCCACATGTGGTATTGAGGCCGCAGGTTCTCCACCCCTGGTCTAGAGTGTCACTACAAGAGGAATGATTTTTAAAAGAATTGAATGAGGCAGAACACTTTCATCTCTGTTTTTTCCTATTAAATCAATTATAATAATCATAGTTCTATAAACATGAAATCAAAGTAGGCTCCAAAATCGTACCCTAGAAGGCTGGAAAGGCTAAGCAGAATTTGAGATTGTAGCTCTAGCTTCTGGTCAGCAGGTGGCGCTGTACCTTTGTATTGCCTGGTCTATTATGTAACACATGGGAGCGGGCTCTGCCTGGGAGGCCCTGCTTTCAGTACAGGTGAATATGCTAATTTAGATCATAGGTTTCAGAGCTGGAAGGGACAATGGTGATTATCTAGTTCAATACCCTCATTTTTTTTCCAATGAAGAAATTTAGGTCCCCAAAGAGGGCAATGACTTGTCCAAGATCACACAGGTAGTAAGAAGAGAAGCTGGGACTCAAACCCACATCTTTGGACTCCAAATTCTCTGCTCATCACGCTTATAGTGCCCGGTAGAATTTTAAACCATCATATACTTTACAATCATTAAAAATCATCCCACTTTCTCTGATAATTTTTCTAAGACTCTCTTGGATTTATTTGTAAGAAGGTGTGAGGCGTTGGCATAGAGGACACTGTCCTGCTGGAATTGTGAGTTCAACCTCCTGCAGGACTATATCGTCTGACTTGGTGACCCTGGAGGGATGACACGGACTGTCCATCTCCTAAGACTCCTGCCTTATGTGGACTTCTGTGGTTGAGGGAAGTTGTGGGTTTACAGATGCTTGAGAGTAATTTTGTTGTTTTGTGTGCTGATTATCTTATATTGTTGATTTGCTTATCCATTCTATGCTAAAAAAGAAAAAAAACACGCAAACCCCAAACAAACACAAAACCTCCAAAGCCAGTATCACAAGATGCTGTCTCCAAGCGTGTTTGTCAGTGTGGTCTGTGGAGAGCAAATGCTACGAGGCAAGGCCGCGTAATTAGGTCTCGCTGTATATAGTAAATTAAAGACAAATGCAGAGTTTGGTGGGGAGGTGAGGGGCTCAGAGCTAGGTTTTCTTTGGGTGAATCCACACATTTACACACGCCCCTTGACAATGAGGTGGTGCTGCCTTATACAGGGAGAGGCAGAGCAGAACAAGTGGACAGTGTCCAGCTCTTACCTGGTACTTCCAGCCCGTGGGGTGTGCACCAGTCATCAGGCTGAGGGTGAGATTCTCAAGAACCCAGATCCTTAGAGCTGGATGGCATGTAATGAGCGGCTGGCAATGTGCCAGGCACTATGCTGAGACAGCGTGACTACCCACTGCTAGGAGAAATCAGGGAAGGCTTTGTGGAGGAAATGACAATTTAAGTTGGACCTTGTTATTATTGTTCAGTTGTGTACGACTCCATGTGACTCTATAGACTTTGTCCGTGAGGTTTTCTTGGCAAAGATACTGGAGTGGCTTGCCATTGCCTTCTCTAGTGTGTTCCCATCTTACAGATAAAGAATTAAGGCAAATATAGGTTAAGTGACTTGCCCAGGGTCACCCAGGTAGTGTCTGATGCTGGATTTGAACTCAGATCTTCCTGATTTCAGGGCTGGCGCTCTATCTACTGCAATGCCTAGCTGCTCCTAAGCTGGGCCTTAGGAATAGGATATGTAGAGCTGGGCAGAGAGAAGCAGAGAATGTCAGGTGGAGGAATCAGGATGAAGCAAAGGCATGGAGATAAAAAATGGTGGGAGTCTATATTTTTCTTTTCTTTTCTTTTTTGTCTATATTTTTCTAGGGGCAGATAGGTAGTGCAGTGGATAGAGGTAGAGTCACAGGTAGAGCACTGTGACTGGATTTAGGAAGACCTGAATTAAAGTCTGGCCTCAGACATTACTAGGTGTGTGACCCTGGCAAGTCACTTAATCCTGTTTGCTAAATTTCTTCATTTGTAAACCTCTAGTATCTTTGCCAAGAAAACCCCAAATGGGGTCACAAAGAGTTGAATGACTGAAAACAACTGAACAAAAAAAAATTGTCTAGAATTCAGAGTGTATGGAAGTGCTTGAGTAAATTGGAGGGTAGGTCTATGAGTCAAGAGTGATGAACTTGGGAGTCAGGAGAACCCTGAGTTTAAATACTCTCTAACATTAGTTGTGTGACCACAGACAAATCACTTAATCTCTCTGAGCCTCGGTTTCCTCCTCTCTAAAATGGAGATTGTAATATTTGCACTATTTATCTTATAGGGCTGTTGTGATGCTCAAATAAGATAATGTATATAACTCATTTTGAAATTCTTAAAGTGCCAGAGCAATGTTAGTTATTATTATTATTACCAATGATAGTTGAGACTAGTGAAAAATCTAAGGGCCTGAGAAATTTGGTGGTGGTGGAGGTAGTGGTAGGGTGGGGTCTCTCTTTCCAAAGCTATCCTTTGGAATGACTATGATTGAAAAGCTATTATTGAAAATGATGGGGAAAAATCATTCCTAATCTTATGCATTTGGTACATTCTTTGTGTGCAATAGAGTTAAGCTCAAAACTTTAGTTAAGAAAACTTCAGAGAACAAATGTTTACTGAAGCCTAGAGCACTCCAGTCTCTTTGGTTTCCAGGATCGGAGGTGGTATGTGTGTGTGTGTGTGTGTGTGGTTGATGTTTTTAGAACAAGGCAATGTCTCAGCCCTGTGGGAGCAGATTGCATGAGACAAGTACCCAGAGTGGGGGAGAGAATGCCAGCCAATCTGTTAGATTTCATCATCTGCTGGTCCTGGGCTGGGGAGATTCTTCGTGTGTGTGTGTGTGTGTGTGTGTGTGTGTGTGTGTGTGTGTGTGTGTATGTATATGTATATATATACATATACATATACATATATATGTATATATGTATATATGTGCTTGCTTCACATACGTAAGCCTGGTGGGATAGTGCTTTTGAAATTCATCCTCTAGGGGGGGCTTATGTGCTACCACCTAAAAATACTTCTTTTGATCTATTTTAGGTTTAGTAAATAAATCTCTGGGTTTATTCTTTATTCTGATAAGTATGGATCTGGGGTGTTTCTGCTCTGGGAAAGCATCTACAGGCAAAGAGAAGAATCAAGAATATTTCCTGTACTCACTTCTTAATTCACCAAGCAATAATGATTTGTCATGGTGATTTTCATACTGCTAGAATTACAATGATGACAAAGCAGCTTGGGAAATAATAACAGCTTACACGTGTAGTGTTGTTTATGGCTACAAAGAACCTTATCTTCGTTGTCTTATCTGAGTTTCTCAACAGGGAGCTGATTTGGGGGATAGGCTATGAAGGAGACAAAAATCTTGTATCATTGTACTGTCACATAAACATGAGATACTATGTCTACAAACCTCCACATACACTCTTGAATTTTTTAAAAATTCAGGTTTTAGAGGTTTAAGCGTTTAAACTCATTTATAATAGTGTTTTTCCATAAACATCATTCATAGCAAATGACATTATGAAATGAAATGTTTTTTCCTTTTTTTTTTTTTGTGAGGCAATGGGGTGAAGTGACTTGCCCAGGGTCACACAGCTAGTAAGTGTTAAGTGTCTGAGGCTAGATTTGAACTCAGGTCTTCCTGAATCCAGGGCCAATGCTCTATCCACTGTGACATCTAGCTGCCAATGAAATAAAATATTTTAAAGAGGTAGGTGGCAGGGGGGGTGGAGGAGTGCTAATTTTATTGTACCCATGATATAGACTAAGAAACTGAGTCTCAGAGAAGTGAAATGACTTGCTCCAAGATATACAACTACTAAATGACAACACAGGGACTGAGACTATGTTCTGACTCCATGTCTAAGCCTATTTTCACTCTACCTCTACTTACCTATAGCGATGAAAAACATAGGCTGGACAAATAAGATGATAAATTTAATTCATTTTGTAACCAACAAAGCTTTGAGCAAGGGATGTTTGGCAAAAAGAATATCATAAGGGCTTGTAAGTAACATTTTTGACATGACTGTGATAAGAAAATTGGGCACATTTATTTATATTCTATGTCTATGTCTATCCACAGCTCATATTTTTGCAGCTTCTACGAGATCCAAGAAATGAGATCAGTTCATACAATAAAATTACAGTAATTCAGACAAATTGGTGTTAAAGAAAAGTCTAAATCATAACCTAACAAAATTGTGTAGGTTCCATTTGGGCCTATTTTGATGAATTGGTAAAACCTGAAAGAATTTTTAAAGAGGTTAGGGCATATTTCCTTGACTGTTAATACACATCATAATTTGTTTAGCAACTCTTTTCTTCAAACATAGCAAAAAAGTTCAATTCAGGTTGAATGACCAGAAATTTTCAATTTAGTGGCATATGAAATGATACTTTATAGTATTTTTTTCTCTCTTTTAACCATGGAAGTTAATGACATTTCATTGCATCAGACTACATCAGCACAGAAGATAATAGTGTGTAAAAATAATTTCCTTAGAAATATTTTTTCACTTCTGGATTAACTGGGGACGCAGGTGAGCAGTCGTTGTCATTGAGAGTTACTGCTTGGGAATTTGAGCCCTAGGCCTTCCATTTTTTTTTTTTAAATCAAAAGGAAGGTGAGTTATTTGTATCATCTTGTATGTTGTGTTTCATATATGGCTGTGTGTGAAAGAGAAAGAGAATTCTAAGAGGGTGGTTTGGCAGGAATGCTTGCAATTCAAGGATGCTTTTCTGAAAGATTGGGCCTAGGATGATGGAAAGATCAAATTTAGGATGAACATTAGCCATGGGAAATATTAGGTTTTTTTCAGGCTTTTTGTATACAAGAGGCAGCAGCAATATTCAAACAAACAAACAAACAAACAAACAAACCTGAATGAGGGTGAGTTAAACCTACACTGAAGAGTAACATAGCAATCCAAC